GTCTCCTGGTCCTGGGGGCGCAAATTGCCCTCTAAAAAAAAAAAAAAAAAGAAAAATCTCTTTTTTTTTAAAAAGTCTCTTAAGGTTTAGGTGTGGTCCAGCTTTCCCTTTTCCCTTTTTTGCCCGTCACATTTCGTCCACCCCTGGCCATCGGGTACCTCTCTGGTGCTTCCTGCAGGCCTTCTGTGCCTAGGGAAGGGTGGCGGCTGCCCTGCTGGCCCCTCGCTCTTGGAACTGATGGAGTTTCTTATCCTGACACGCTGGGTAGCGTTCATGGAAGAATTGTCCTTGCGCTTCAATCTCTTTGAGGGTTTCGCTTCTCCAAACTTGCTCTGAACTGGGCAGCATTGATCCTTCAGTTGCCGCCTTAGCACGAGCTTAACCAGGGAGAATGAACTGCCGATGAACGGGCTCTTTACAACTTCCCAAGTAGAGGTGGTACCTGCTGCCAAAGGCCTGATGTTCTGCTTCGCGCATGTTCTAGCTATCCGGATGTTGCTGAGAGCTGGTGAGTCCACGTAGCAATCCTGAAGCCTGGTGTTCAGTAAGATGGACTGTCGGAGTCCATAGGTGGGGATGCTGGGGTCTCGTCTCACATAGACGGGATGCTGGAGTTATAAGGAAAGAAAAAGGGAATCGAAAAATGAAAGGACCAGCCTTCAAGGAGGGAATCGAAAAAAGGTCAGCTTCGGAGGCAAAGTAATCACATCTTTTTATAGGCCATTCCTTCCGCACGGCTCCTAGAAATCTTGCTGTGTCTGCCCTCCTGCTCACCAAAGCTTTGGACCGAGTAGGGAAGAGCGAGTAACTTCAGGAGGTCATGGTGATAGTCAGGCTCTCAAAGAACATAGCATGCTGGGCAGGAAGTCAGGGGTCAAGGAGGGTTTATAAGGAACGAAAGGCAATTCCCATCTACTAGGAAGATAAGGGAATCTGGTGGGGAAGAAATGGGAGGTAGAGTCACTCAGGACTTCTACATGAACGGCAACTTCTCAGACCAGGCTGCAACATGGACACCACCGTAGCTACGTCCTGCCAAACACCGAATCCATTTTTTTAAAAGAGATTTTGTCTTAGGACACATGTGCTCATCAGAGAGAGAGAGAGACAGAGATGGTGAGAGGGAAAGGGAGAAATCTCGCCCCTGGGGGGACAGCCATGCCACAGTCCCTTCTCCATTCTCCTCCTAAGATCTTGGACATGTACACTCACGTGCCTGGTGTATTTCAAGACACCAGGTCTGGGACTCAAAACTCTGTTGGTCATGTGAGAGTCCAGAGATATAACTGCTACGCCATGGGCTAGCCCCCTGAATCCATTTTCTAACCAAACTGCTATGAGCCAAGAAGAGCTCTCAACAGAGAAATATACATACTCTGGGATCCATAAAAGCAAAAGCTCAACGTAAATGGTGCCAGTCTCCATTTCCTAGGATACACCACCAATGAGAGAGCAATTTGGGTAAAATAGAATCACATACTTAGAGACCTGACTTTCTAACAAATGTCCTCTATAGGAGGCCAGCAGGTGGCGTGGTGGTTTAAGGTGCTGGACTCCCACATAGCCAACTGTGGTTCGAGTCCCAAACCTGGCAGCTTGCTTTCTCACTTTCTCTCTCTTTCTCTTTCACTCTGTCCCTCTCTGGTCCCATTAAAATAAATAAATAAAGTTCAATAAAATAATTCTTTTTAAAAAAAAGAAGAAATGTCATCTATAAAAAATAAAATCACCTTACCATATTTCTGTTGCCTTACATTTTATTTTAGCTAGCTTAGTAAGGGGAAGAAACATGTATTTTCTTTTGCCTTTTCTCTCTCTCTCTCTCTTTTGTTGTTGTTTTGTATTGTTTTGTTTTGTTTTAGTATCTCTAGTCACCTGTCTTTCTCTGCCTCAGTCATGTATGGGCAACCTGCAGTTCGTGTGGATTTGGGCTCACACACAGGCGGCTTCGAGCCATTATCTCCAGCATTTGTGATGTCACTTTGGTTTGTGATGTGGGTGTGGGTGGGTGTTACATCATCAGATTTTATAGTTAAATTATGTTGGAAGAAATTCTATTTTGTTGTGCTTAAAGCCTCAGGGAACTTCCAAAGTCCTCATTTCCACCCCAGAATGGCTTGGGTGAATTTCAAAGGTCCTTAACATCATCTTATCAGGGGCCGGCAGGTGGCATGGTGGTTAAGATGCTGGACTCCCACAGGGCCAACTGTGGTTTGAGTCCTGGACCTGGCAGCTTGCTTTCTCACGTTCCCTTTCTCGCTCTCTCTCTCTCTCTCTCTCTCTGGTCAAATTAAAAAATAATAACAAATAAAATTCAACGAATAAGTCCTTAAAAAAAGTTTTTAAAAAACATAATCTTATTAAACATGCTTGGAAAAAATGTTAAATATGCAGACTAGATTTATGGATACAGGTAGTGAGATGCATCCTTCCACGTGCAACATGCCCTCGTCACGCACATAAAGAGGGTACTGTTAAAGTCTCAGGATAGCTGCCAAGGTTAGGGACCAGAAATGAAAGAACACGTTCCTGCAGCCCTGGACACCTCTCCCTGCATGTCTCTCCCGGGAGAACTACATGGTTTCTGGAATGTGGTTTTATGTTACATCCCATGGCAAATGCAGTAATTAGAGCTGTTAGCAGTATCAAGGGCTTGAAACGAGAACAAAGACGCCTCTTCCTGGGAACTCTTGAGCAATGCCTCCCTTCTTATCAGGTGTTTGCCCTGTTGGTGGTTTTGATTTTTCATACACAAAATGCCAAAGGAGGCTCCTTCCTGAGGGGGAAGAGAGTGAAATGATGGAAAAACAGACTCTGAGTCTGGCAGAGGCTCCTGGCATGTGTTGCCTGTTTGAATTTTCAAGTGTTGTCCCTGGAGTGAATCAAAGCCTACAGGCACACCGCACGGCAGGCCATGGTAGAACCACCACCTCCAGGCCGACAGCATCTGGACCCACAGACACTCGGGAGGACAATGACGCCCATTCAGCTGTGGCGAGCCCTGGCCTCACCTCCCAGGAGGTGGGTCAGTTTTAGAGCAGGGCGTTGGAAAGGGTTTGTCTTTGGGAAGGGTTTATGAATGTCTGGAGACTGGGCAGGCAAGCGTTCTTTCAAAGCCAGCGAATCTTGGAGAGGTGGCACCAAGTCTCAGGCGTCCCGAAGATTATTATCCATCTTTACTCTGTATAGCAGAAACAGAGGAGAAATGCCGGGCAAAGAAGCATATGAAGGGACCAGGTGGTGGCGCACTGTAATGCAACTGGACTCACGTTAGAAGGTCCCAGGTTCACATCCCAAGAACTCTCTCTACGTGCTGGCCTTATGTGTGCCCGTGAT